GAGGGTCCCCACAAGTGCTTCTTCACCTTGCAGGCTCGGTCACGCCTGCAGGATTCCGGTTTGGTTCGTATGTGCGTGTGTAGGGTTTATGGTTTATGGTTTAGGGTTTAGGGTTGAGGGTTGAGGGTTGAAGGGCTGAGGGGTTTAGGGTTGAGGGTTGAGGGTTGAGGGTTTGGGGTTGAGGGTTGAGGGTTTGGGGTTTGGGGATTGGGGTTGAGGGTTGAGGGCTGAGGGTTTAGGGTTTAGGGCTTGGGGTTTAGGGTTGCGGGTTGAGGGTTTAGGGTTTGGGGTTTAGTGTTTAGGGTTCAGGGTCTAGGGTCTAGGGTCTAGGGTTTAGGGCTTAGGGTTTCGGGTTTAGGGTTGCAAACAAGGCTCAACATTCCCCGACCAAGATGTGACCTCCTCATGGTTTGTTGCATGACCATGGGTTTGGGCCAGATGTAGCCACGTTTGGTGTAAACCCCTCCAAAACAGCCAAAAATGACCTCATCTGGCCCAAACCCAGGTTCTGGGCCCGAGAACCTGGGTTTGGGCCAGATGCGGTCATTTTGGGTGCTTTAGGAGGGAACCCAAGAAAATATGCTGCCTTCAGGTGCCAGCCGCTGGAGATCCCGGAGATGTGCCAGTTGCCAGGTTGCCATTGCAGGCAGGATCAAGAAAAACGTTGCAGGTGGTCAATAGACTGGGCCACTTCCTAGCACATGTAAGGAAACATGCCACTTCTGGCCCAAGTCACCCTCTGCAGAGTAGCCGCCCATAAACTTGGGCCACTTCCTGCCCCCACCCCCTGCAAACCTTCTATATGCAGGGAAATGCAGGAAATGTAAGCCACCCATGGCAAGGCCTTGGAGACGCCCATACCGCTCCTGCAGCCGGCCTGCGCCTTGCCGAAGGCTGAACATGCGAGTGCACGCTTTAGGCATGTGGTGCTTGATTTGGAATACCTGCACTTTGTGCTGGCTTTTCCCTGGACAATGAGCAACGGGGCACGTGGTTTCTGTGCGGGGGTTTGCCTCCTCATTCACGTTGGGTGCAATGCCGAAAGCAATGGATGACGCCCGTACGGGGTGTGATGAGGCCGAGTGGTTCCTAGGTTGCACATTTGATGCTGCTTGCCGTGCTGACGGTGTCTATGCCTCTGGTCCTATGTGCCGTCCTATGTGCGCCATATTGTCTTGGCCAGCCGAGGTTTGATGCCGGGCAGGAGAAGGGTTGGCTGAAAGGCATCCTTCGTGAGGCCTTGCGTAGCTCGGATGCATTGCGTGCCAATGAGCTTGATTTTGTAATCTTTCGCGTGTTTGCCCGCTGTGTACCTTTTTTGCTGAGTAAGGCTCCGGCGACTACAGGCCATTGGCCGTCCTCGATTTGTTTGGGAGATCCGCCAAGGTTGCCTACGCCTGGCGTACGCGTGCGTGGCCGGCGGCTAGCTACGCATCGTGGCCCCAAGTGGATGTTCGGGGGTTTAGTGCGTGGGCTTCATTGATTTCAGTTTCACACCGGGAAGGGAGCGAGGGCGGACATTGTGGGAGCGTGCCCAGGACATTGCCAAGGACAGCTCGCATGACATCACGAGTCGTGAAGGTTGCCGTCAGCTTGTGCTCATGGCCAGCCGCCTCATGGACAAAGGCCTCATAGTGGCCGGGCCTCCCTGCAGCTCCCTATGCCGCAGCAGGGTATCACGTCCTTGCACGCAGGGAAAGCAATCCAGATCCTAACATATCCTAACTAAGGCTTGTACGTATGGCTCAGTTGCAGCGTGCACTGCCGAGACGCCTCAAATGATTATCGAGGAGATGTTGGCCAGTACAGCGTACGCTTAGCTAATCGCATCACAACCAATATGGCTGCTGTGCTTGCAAAACCGACTGTAATGCATAACCGATTGTGCCTCGACTGTTGATCTCTGGATATCCTCTGGCCCCCTTTTTGGCAGCAGATTGATCCCAGGCAGCAATCCTCGGCGTATTGTCGGAAATGATGGAGGTCTACCTGCTGATTGAGCAGCCGAAGGGCTCGAGGATGTATTCCCTGCCGGAGATGCGACAGCTAGCTGCAGATACCCGTCTTGCCCCAGTGCCTAGGTTGCATCGTGTTGCATCGATGGCCTGTGTTTCGAAGCGCTGCAAAGTTTGACCATGTTTGACCCTTGCAGGTGGACACAGCACTTGGCGCCTTTGGCCATGACATGTGCAAGCCCACGAAGCTGATGTCCAACCACCCGTATGCCGCGTCTGTGCGCCGCAAGCTGACCAAGCAGGTGCGCGAGCGTGTTGCTACAAGGTGCGTCCTCTCAGATTGCTTCCTCGTGAGTCCGGATAGCTCACCCCTGCGTGTGTAGCACCATCCATCGCACAAGTGCTCAGGCAAGCCAAATCAGGGCGGGAGTACGTGAAGAAAGGACCGGGCGGAAAGGTGCAGGGCGGACGAGACCTACACCACTCAGCCACATATCCGACACGCTTCTGCAAAGCTTTGTTCTCGGTCCCTTGCCGAGCACGTGCTGCTATGTTAATTTAAGGGCTTCGAGGGGCCAGTTGCAGATGTGCAGCCTGTTCAGCTCGTGCTTCACACTCCTGCATTTCCTGTAGGCCTGGCTGCGCCACCTGCAAGATGGCTTCATGGCCGCGGCACGTGCGGCGTGAAGACTCTCGGATTCTCCGCGTGCCTCCTCTTACAATGTTCAAAGGTTGTCTCGTGGGTGGTGCTGAAGCACCATGGACCACGTATGTCTCTGATCTGTTGCACACTTGATGTAATTTGACATGTGCCTTTAGCTGGGCGTGCCCTGCGTGTGGAATACACACGCATGGCGCCCACCTGTGCTGCAGTATGCCGCAGTAATTCCTGAAATTGATGATGGCGGTCTCGCTCATAGACGTGAGATACGATGCAGCTCAATGCAAGAATGCAGAGCCTTAAATTGGCGTGTGCCTGCCTGGCGCAATGCTGTGCTGCATGCAGCTTGCTCCTATGCTCGTGCCTGTCTCGCAGGCCCCGGATCTTCTAGTGCCCAGCGAAGCTGCAGCCTCAGAGAGACGCGCGTCCCAATACTGTCCCATCCCAGTCCCAATAAGGCCAACTGCTCGGACATAAAGGTCAAGACAGAGTATCAGGCCAGCTGCTGAGTGAGTGGAGGGCTCCATCGGCCAAAACCATATTCATTACTTCTGCATCGTCCTATCCTTCTATGCAGGGAGTCTAGAACACAATAAGAAGCCACAAAATTGGTTTGGGCATTGGGTTCTAAATAAAGTTTTCTTGCAGCGGCCATGGCAACCCTGGGTTACCTCCCAAAACCTGGACCTGTATCATCGCATTTCTTGGGACCTTGCGTACACCCTGCTCCATCGTCTCTGTCAATGGCAGAACCTGGGACCCTTACTGACACTGCTCCATCCTCTCTGCATTGGTTTGGATTTCCTTGTATGGTATATCTAGCGCACACTAGGAAGCCCAAAAAAGGGTCCGGGCATGGGGTTGCGATGATACCCCCCCCCCAAACTGGACTCTTTTTATGGCAGAACCTGGGACCCTTACAGACACTCTGCTCCACACTCTCTGCATTGGTTTGGATTTCTTGTATGGTATATCTAGCACACACTAGGAAGCCCAAAAAGGGTCCGGGCATGGGGTTGCGATGATAGGATTCTCTTGCAGAAACCCATCGGAACCCTGGGGTACCCCCCCCAAACTGGACTCTTATAATGGCATTTGTTGGGACGCTTACATAGATCCCGCTCCATCCTCCCTGTATTGCCTCCCTTTGTAGTTTACCTAGACTACAAGCCCTAATGGGTCTATATAGGGGATCTAATTTTCAAATCCTCCTAGGGGTCTGGGTTTGCAATATACCTGAAGCATACTAACCAGCCGCAAACATGCTGCAGGTTGCGGAACTTCTACAGCAAGCATGTCCCCGACCAGCTTGGCAAGTCTATTGGGAGACGCTGTCAGAATGTGCCTCTGACGCTGGAGGTCGGGTTTTGCTACTAGGCCTGCAGCTTTCTCCTTGACTGCGCTCTGTCTAGCTCTGCATGCACTTAAACTCGCTACAACGACAGTTTGCTGCCAAGGTCCGAAGTGCCGCGCGAATTGCGCCGAGCAGTTTTCAGCTGCCTGTCGCCTGATGCCCGCAGAGGTTCCGTATCTACATCTATCATCGAATTTGTCGCTGTGATGCGGTATGCCCTCAGCGGCGCAACCCGGGCCTGGATATCTTTGGATGATGAGAGCAGACGGCAGTGGGTAACTGAGCAATATGAGGATTTCGTGCGAGATGCGCCGCCTACCTGGCGTGCTCACCTGCCGAGCTACGTGTGTGCTGAAGAGACAGGTCTGTCGAGCCAACCACAGGAAGTTCACGAGCACGTGGCTGAGCTTCTGGATGCTGGCTTATTGATGCCTGAGGACCTCCTGTGTCCTGATGACTTGCAGCGTTTCCGGCCTGCACCAAGCATGGCTATGGACTCAGCAGGTTCTGCCCAGCCGCCAGCCCATGTTAAAGCAGAGGTGCCGCTGTGCCCAGTGAAGCGAGAGTTGCAGAAGCAGCAGCCGCGGCAGTTGCGGCGGCAAGACATCAAGGTATCCGGCGAGGACATGGAAAGGCACCTCACCAAGGATATTGCCCATCTCTATGAGCCCTATACCCGTAGCATGCTGAACTTTGTGCAAGTCCTCAGAGGCTTATGTTCCGTATGCAGGTTGTGGCACAAGGATGGGTGGCCGCAGCGTGTGGCTGTGCTGAGTGGGGATGATGAGGCACGAACCCAGTTGCTTGAGATGCAAGTTGCCGCGCCTATGCTTCTGGCTGTCCTGCAGTCTCCAAACCACTGGAGCTTGATGGCCGTCCACAAGCATGCTGAGGGTGTGGATGCCTTGCATTATGACACCCTGGGTGACAAGGTATGTTATGACCATGGCCTGGCAATTCTGACCTACTTGCGGGAGTCGGGCTGGTTGCAAAGCATCCCTCCGCTGCAGCAAGCTTCTGTACCTCCTCAGGGCGACCCATGGTCGTGTGGCCATAGAGTCGTTATATTGAGCGACTTGATCCTAGATGCCCTCAGTTCGCAGGGCAGGTTGCCGCCCAACGTTGCAGAGCTTCCTTCCGCGCTTGTGGATACCTTGATCACCTCTTCTGTCCGGGCACGCCAGATGAAGGCTGAGAAGCTGAAGCGAGAGGCTCCCTGTGACCGACTGCCTCCTGCTAAGAAACAAGCGTCGTCCAGCGCATGCCCTGCTTCCTCACCAAAGCGCGTCGTGGATGATGACTTCGACAATGAACCATGCACTCCACCCCCAACACGACGCAGATGCATTGAGCCCTCAAGTGGATCCATGTCTACCCCACCCAAGAGGGGCATTCGTCCATCCAGACTGGCAGTGGCCAAAGCCCAGGCAGCTGCTGCCAAACACAAAGCCGCCTCGCCTGAGAGGAAGAAGACGTCAGTCTGCGCCCCGATCCTGACGCATGCTGAGTTCCAGCACGCGCACTATGAGCAGCAGCAGGCGCCGCCGAAAGGCCACTGGAAGGCCTTCCTCAAGGCCACACAGGACCCTTCTCTCACCATTGTCCGCCGTGTCTGCAGCCGACTACGCCAACAAGGTGTAGCCGAGCCAGCGTGTGAGCCTGCGGTTGCTCAGCAACCTCAAGAGCAAGCCATTGTGGCAGTCGCAGCAGCGTCTCCGCCCCGCACTCCTGTTGGCAAAGGTAGGCCGCGGAGGGATGAGCCAGCAAATGCTCGCTTCAACCTTCGAAGCTATCTGAAATCGCGCCGCTCAGAGGTCTATGCAGAGACTCCTGGCAGCTGGACTTCAAATGTCGAGTATCATTGCCGGGCATGCCAGAGAGATATCAAATTCTGTCGTTCCACAGACATTGCCAAGTTGCATAAGCACAAGCAGGGGCAAAAGCATAGAAGGGGCTTGGTGAGATTGGGCCTGATCCAGCCTGTGGCTGAGGAGGCAGATGAGGCAGGCGTAGAGGCTGCAGTCGTCCCAGCTCAACCCCGCTGCAAGGGAGTGCGGATTGACAACCCTTTGAGCCCCTTGTGTCATCTGAAAGATACTTTCCCGGGATTTCTTCTTGGCAGGGATGCCTCGCACCATCTATGCATCTGGGGAACATGACCCAATGGAGAACGTCATCTTTGAGACCAGCAATGAGGGAGGTTCAGTCCGAGCCCGAAATTGCGAGGGTACCTGCGCTGGAGCCCAGCATGCCTGCGCAGCCTGTCTGAAGGTTGCGAAGAGCAAGGACTTCCGTGCCGCAGTTGCTGTCAAAGCTTATGAGATGGACTTATGTATGCTGTGCCATAAAGCCCTTCACGAGTCAGAAGATGCCGCTGCGAGCTTCAAGCAACACATCCGGACCCGCGACTACATGTTGACTGGTCTTGCCGGTGGCAACTTTCAGACCTTCGAGCGCGCAGAGTCTCCTCTCGAGCTGGCGCGAAAGGTCCGCAACCGCTTCGACAGCACACCTCTTTGGCGAATGAGCGAAGCCTGGAAGGCTTACCTGTCGACGCACCTCTCAAAGGCGCCGCTGCATTTTGACACTGACCCGGAGGCAGCGGCGCACACAGCCTTGACAAGTGCGCTATCAACGGCTGTTCTGCAGGGTCGTGCCAAGGCCTTGGACCTGCAACTTGCCGCGCGCGTGGCTGGCGGGGCGCTCAGAGGCGACGCCCTTGTCCAGGGCCTCGTCACAACGTTCCTGCAGCAGACCAGGCAGGAGATGGCGAGACCAGGATCGAATCGGCACTTGGAGGATCTGCAAGGGGTTGCAGAAGCATTCCAGGTGCTCGGCAGAACCAAAGAGTGGGACAAGCTACTGAAAGCCTTCCGCCTGAATCCCCGGGCGTTGCCCAGGCTTACACTTGATGCGCCTCGCTTTCCAGCTGCGTTTGGCAGCTTGTCATCCTTTGACCAGGTCAAAGCCAGCTTCTCTCGGGCTGCCTCTATATTGCGTGCTGTCAACACAAGATTACACTTAATGTTTGATGAAACAGTGTGGGCTCCGGGAGTGGAGCAAGTTCGTCATATGAGAGACGGGCTTGACTTCCTCGTGGGTGGCGTGTGGGACCGACACCCATCTGACACCTTCCACATGGTGTGCGCTGAGACCCTTGCAGGTGATGTGGGCCATGTCCCCGCAGACAAGCTGGCGCGCTTGACGCTGCACTTCTGCGTTCAGCGTCCGGACAGTCGCAAGGCTGTCATCGACACCTGTACTTTGCCTCGGCAGTATGGAGGCAGTTCGGCGCAAGAAACGTTCGAGCTGTTGGCAGACTACCTTGAAGCTGTGACGGAAGCAGCGTCTGGGCTCCCTCCGCAATCCATAGCGTTTGACGGTGCCACGCTGAACTCGCTCGTGAATGCTGCCTTTGGTGGATTGGTGAGCCAGGAGGTTTTGCAGAGCCTGCCATGGTTCCAGAATTGCGAGGCATGATTGGGGATAGGTGATGTATGTGTACGTGCTAGTATGTGCTAGTCGTGCGTGTTAGTTCACGGCTCCCCTGCCGCGTGATGCGCCATGTGCTGTCACACGCTATCACGATGCTGTGTCAGGTCATTAAGGTGCCCCGTTGCAAGCAGTGGCCGTACGGCTACCTCGTCTACCGCTCGGAACCCAGGGCAGACCGCTTCATGGCGTCTGCGTTCAATGGGGCCTATCACGTGCAAAAGCGCCTGAGCCTGCAGTTCCTGGGTTGCACGAGGAAGGTCACGTTTGGCGCTCTTCTTGTGGAGTGCGCGCCGCTTCTTGGCCACGGCATACCTTTCAAGGTTTACGCTGGCTCGGATATCATGTCCGATGCAGCAGCTGTCATGAGATTGAGTATGCCATATTTGCAGCGCAGTTGCCTGACACTGGGTCTCCACGTGGCGGCATTTATTGCCGCGCTTCAGGCCTCGTATACCACTGCGAGCAAGGTTCTGGACAAGCAGCAGCAATGCATCAATGCCTTCACCATGTTTTACCTCATGGCCATGCATGTCTGCTTCAACCAGCGCATCTACGGTTCACTCTGGCAAGGGTATACGCTGTCCGCCCAAACCATCAAGAACTCATGCCTTCTAGCGGCCCATTCCGTTCATGGGACAATGAGTCACATCGAGCCTGCGCTGTGCCAGGAGCTGGGAATCGAGCACTACTTTGCTTTGCTGAAGAAACCGTTCCGGGGCGCTCCTTCGGTGAAGGATTGCGTGCAGGGCACTGCCCGTGCAGTGCTAGAACAGATCAGGGCCATGGACGGGGAGAAGCTGCAAGTCACACACACGGACAAATCCCGCGATGCCCTGGATGCAGCAACGGTCGCCCGATGCAGCGCAGCAGCCTTCAATGCCAGCGTGAGGTTCTTCGCGTGCCTCAGTGTTGACCTGAGCTTGGACGAGGCCGTCCGGGTGTTTGAGACCTGGTATCGCAAGAAGGGCCACGCTTTCTTTGGAGCTGTTACGTCAGAGTCTAGCCCAGAAGATTTCCTCTTTGAAGAGGTCAACGTTGAAGAGATGTCCGACTACATGGGCGTACCTCATAAAGCAGACTGTGAGGTTGTGCAAGCTGTTCAGGATCGGGCAGCGCTGCAGGAGGAATTGTCTTCGCTGCACGTGGAGGTGGAGGGCGGTGCTGAGGCCTCAGCGCCGGCCACTGCAGATGTTGAGACGGAGGTTGGAAAGCAGGAGCCAGCTGGGTGCGGTAGAAGGTTTAGAGGAATAGGTGGGAATGAAACATAGCGCGTGTTAGTGCGGCTCTTCATCTAGAATGTATGTTGCTCCCCAGTGACACAACATTGATCAACATTCTGCCCGGTAGCGTAAATCTTTCCGAAGCCCCCGCGCAGGATCCTGACACAATTTTCGGGAAGCCGGATGAAGAGTCCAAGGGCTGTGCGCAGCCACTCACTTTGATCGACATTGTGCAGCGTGCTATGGCTACGAAGAAGGAGTCTTTTGACCTCGGAGACGCAGGTGGCCAAGGAGACAGGGCTTGTCTGCTGCGCGCCAAGACCCTGCTGACGCCCATGCGCCAGTTCATCAGGATGATCCGCTGCGAGGAATCCATCTTGAGCCAGGCAAGCATAGAAGGTGGCGTGCCAGCTGGTAATGATTGGAATCGGCGGGAACACCTGCTGGCGGTGGCGCGCCGCAATGCGCAATTGAGCCGCATCCGCGTCAGCCGCTTTCAGATGTGGGCTGATGCCCAGAAGAAGCTGAGCGCTGAGCTTACCGAGATTGTGGGTGGGAAAGAGGGCTTGGTGCCTGTTGACACTTACCGGCCTTGCGTGTCGGAAGCATTGCCGCAAGTGCTGGCAGTGCGAGATGTGAGTGGTAACCCCTGCGTGGCTTTGACATTGTGCGTCTACAGAGGTGCTGTGTTGAGGAGCCCTGCCAAGCCATCGCAGCGCATCCGGACCAGCAAGCCGATGCCGGGCAACCTGCCCGCCGCAGCTACCAAGCTCATCCACGCGCTCAAGATGCACGAGGAGAATGGTGAGCACATTGCGTCTTGCACTGGCCAGGTACTGTTGCTGCAGCCTTCCGAAAGTCATGTTTTCGGGGAACTGCGAGCCGAGGAGGTCAAACCGACGGCTATTCGGATACACCTGCGCCTGAGCAAGGCTTCTAGTGATGCCATGCGTGTGCTGGCATCTGGCAAGCATCCTTTGCCCATCCTGCCTTCCGAAAATAATGCTTCAGATGCCGCAGCTGTCGATGTGGAAGAGGAGCAAGAGTTGACGCGAGCAGCTGCTGCTGAACCTCGTGTGCTCTTCAATGACCGCTCGTTCATGCGAGGCACCCATGAGCAGAACCTGGACAAGTTCTTTGAGGGTCTGCGTCGCGAGTATGAAAGCTATGGCCACGCATTCGTCGATAGCAACGAGATGGTCATGCTCAAGCGACCTACACCATGGGCGTCCTTGCGGCTCCGCATCCCAAGTTGCTGCTTGAAAATGTGCGGCGACCTCAAAGGCTACAAATTCTCGAAGGCCATCACTCTGCTTGCTTTCCTGCTACTTGGCTCTTGTCCTCGTTGTCATTACTTACTGGGGTCATCCCCCCCCCAAGTAGCTT